CCACCTCCTTATGCCATATACAAGAACAAATTCAAAATGGATTAAAGACTTAAATGTAAGACCTGAAACCATAAAACTCCTCGAAGAAAAAATAGGATCTAAATTTGCAGACATTACCCTGAGCAATATTTTTACTGATACATCCCTGCGGGCAAGGGAAGTAAAAGAAAAAATGAACATATGGGACTACAACAAACTTAAAAGTTTTTTCACAACAAAAGAAACTATCAATAAAACAAAAAGGAAGCCTACTGAATAGGAGAAGATATTTGTCAATGATATATCTGATAAGGGGTTAATATCCAAAATATGTAAAATGCTCATGCAACTCAACACCCAAAAAACAAACAACTCAATTAAAAAATGGGCAGAGGATATGAAGAGACATTTCTCTAAAGAAGACATACAATTGGCCAACAAGCATATGAAAAAAATGTTCAACCTCACTAAACATTAGGGAAATGCAAATAAAAACCACAATGAGATACCACCTTACCCCGGTCAGAATGGCTATCATAAATAAGTCAACAAACAACAAATGTTGGCAAGGTTGTGGAGGAAAAGGAAAACCCTGGTGCACTGTTGGTGGGACTGCAGACTTTTGCAGCCACTATGGAAGTCAGCATGGAGGTATCTCAAAAAACTGGACATTACGACCCAGCAATTCCACTCTTAGGTATTTATCCACAAAAACCCAAGACATTAATTCGAAAAAATATATGCACCCCTATGTTCAGTGCAGCACTATTCACAATAGCTAAGACTTGGGAACAACCAAAATGCCCATCGGTAGACAACTGGATTAAGAAACTATGGTACATTTACACAATGGAGTATTACTCAGCTATTAAGAAGAAGGAAATAGTACCATTTGCAACGATATGGATGGAACTAGAGAACAGTATGCTAAGTGAAATAAGTCAGTCAGAGAAAGACAAATACCATATGATCTCACTTATACGTGGATTCTAAAAAACTGAATAAATGAGAAATGTAAACAGAAGTAGTCTCAGACACACACAGGAAAAACTGAGGGTTTCTAGTTGGGAGGTGGTGGGGATGAAGGAGAAGGGGAAGGGATGAGACAATACAAATTGGTAACTACAATATGGCATCAGGGATAGAAAAGACA